CGTGTGGCTGGTGGGTCTTCCCCTTTTGTGTCACCTTCTTAATTTTTTTTCGATCCGGTATTTTTTTTTCCATCTCGTGTTTGGTACGTGACATTGGAGTCCGATTAAAATTCGACTCAATCCAAAACCTCAACTAAATCTGGCTATACTCAATACCTCTAATTAGGAATAAGGACATTCCTACCTCAGTGGTTTCTTCTATTTTTCACTCTGCTTCGAAGTGAAACTTCTACGAATAAAATTTTTCACTCTGCTTCAAACTGAAACTTCTACAAATAAAATAATAAAAATAAATAAACATTGTAATTAGCAATTGAATTTGAGAAAGAAAGAAGATAAAAAGAAAGAAATGAAAGAGCACCAACTCCCAACATTAGTCAAAAAAAGTCCTTTTCTTTGTGACCCCATTTCTCTCACGCTTCAAATCATGAAATTTTCATGAACCCCTTTAAGTATTTTCCTCTTTTCTTCAATCTGTGAGCTCAAATACTGTTTTTTGGCTACTGGTTTCTGCAAAAATGTCAACTTTTGACACTGTAAACACTGACATAGAGGCAAATGGCAGTGGCGACAATGCTAATCTTGCCCGTCAGCGCCGCCGTCAACGACGCCGGAGGCGACGGCGACGGATGCCATCCATGGCAGGGAGCAGCGAGACCACTACTGATGGGAGCTTTCGGTTCTCCGATTCCGACTCAGACCAATCTTGGCACTCTCCTTTAGGCTCTGTGGCAGGTGGGTCTTACCGTTACGAAGAATGTGGGTTTTCTATGAGGTCTGAGGGCAATTTGGTCCATCGTGAGCACAGCAAAAGAGGGTCTTGTCCGTTGCCAGATGAAGAGATTGATTTGGAGAGTGGTGAGTTGGAGTTGAAAGTGCATAAAGATGAGAAAACCTGTAGGATTTGTCATTTGAGTTTGTTGAAATGTGGTGGCATTGGTGATGATGACCAACTCCTAGAGGCCTCTGGTGGAATGGCCATTGAATTGGGCTGTTCTTGCAAAGGTGATTTGGCAGCTGCTCATAAACATTGTGCTGAAACTTGGTTCAAAATCAAGGGAAACACGTAAGACTATGACTCTCTACCCCTTGTTCTAGCTCCTATTTTCATGATTCTTTGAATCTATTTGTCATAAAGAACTTGATGGTACGAAGTATAATTCTTTATGTGTTTGTGAAGATAAGAGATTATGTGGCTACTTTGTGTTGCTGGAAATGTGGAATGATTTCTATAGTAGATTAACTACTAGCAATTGGAGTTTCTTGGGTTCGATACTACTTAAACCATGATTTTGGGGAATCTTAGTAGCTCCGTTGGTTGACTACCCGAACTTTCCCTGCCTTGGCCCTTGTTGGTGAGGGTTCAATTCCCCACCTTGTAATCTCCTCCCCCATTCCCCCTTGCTCTACACCCCATCCACACACCCCCCCCCCCCCCCCAAAAAAAAAAAAAAAAAAAAAAATTTCTATGGTTTAATTGTACATGAACATGACATTTTACTTTTAGTATCTTCTGAAGTTTGTTTAAGGTTAAGTTTAGAAGTAAAGTGGTATAGTTGTTTGGTTTTATGTGGTTAACTCCTATCATTTCATTGGTACAACCAAGATTCCATCTTTGTTTTGAGTTTTTTGAGGTACTTAACTGATAGATGTACTCAAGTTTCCAACTTTATTAAGTTTAGAAGTTAAGTGGTATAGTGGTTTGGTTGTTATGTGGTTAACTCCCATCATTTCATAGGTACAACCAAGATTCCATGTTTGTTTGAGTTTTTTGAGGTACTTAACTGATAGATGGACTCAAGTTTCCAACTTTATTAAGTTCAGAAGTACAGTGGTATAGTGGTTTGGTTGTTATGTGGTTAACTCCTATCATTTCATTGGTACAACCAAGATTCCATCTTTGTTTTAGTTTTTTTGAGGTACTTAACTGATAGATGTACTCAAGTTTCCAACTTTATTAATTTTGCCTCCAACAAATATTGTTTATGGCTTTCTAGCAGGCTGAAACTCTTCTTCTTCTTGGATACTATGTACTAAACGTTTTTGTTCTTCAGAACACTAAATATTCATTGGTATTGGTATTATCTACTACGTCACTGCTCCTAATTAGTATCTTTGCACTACCAGCACATCTAAATCTAGATCCTGTTCTTTTTGCCGTGGTTGATAAATGACATGAAAAACTGGATATAAGGTATATGTGACCTTGAAAAGTATTGTCCTCCACTAAATGGCCTGGTTTAGATTACCAATTTTCAAATATTATTTTTCACTTTGGATACAAAAACTACTTTTTTTCAAATACTCACAATTTCATGGTCAAATCCCCCTGAAAAAGCATGCCTTTAAAAGAAAAGTAGAATTGAGCTATTAGTTCTGTCATTTCCTCTGATGCATCATGCAAGAATATTGGAACATGCATATTACTTCCCTCTCCACATCAAAGGGATTTGATGCATTTTTATCATGTTTGAATCAGTGGCCACATTGTTTGCACACTGCTCTTTTTCCTTTTGTTAATATATTTTGCTGTCCTTATTCTTGTGCTTTTTGTAGAGTCATATTCACTAGAAAAGAAGTTTCTACTAGGAGCAATTATTGAATTATGTAAGGAAGCATGGAAGAAATCGTCATACATTTACTTCAAAGATACAGAAAATCTTTTAAGAGGCATTGAGGCCATCTGCATGTTCCTTTCACATAAAATGTTTCACCTGTGATGGCACCTAAAACTTCTGTTTATCAACATGTTTCATTGCCTTACATGTTGCACACAACTTTTGCTATGGCAACAGACATTTGCTTCTATGACTTTTCTGTGATGTGTTGCTTATTGTTCAACAAGACATTGGTAAAGCCAAGGTTGTGATTTTGTTTTCTTTTGAGGGGGCGGGACAATATAAACTTTCCAAGAATTAGGGGGTTAGAATGGTGTACATTTTCCCCTGGTTTATTAATGAACAAGCATGATATTGTCTTGTGTAGCTAAGGTATACATCTATATAGCTTAGAGGAAGAAAAATCTGTAGTTGATTGTTATGAAGTGGCATGTTGGTCAGGAAGGAAAGGCACATTAAGTACCTTTTCTGTTATGCCATTTCTTTTCGGAGATATTAGCTTAGTTTTCAGTGTCTTAATCGCCTATAAGCCAACATGACAATATGGAACCGTCTGCAATTCCAAACCAAATTGTATGGTGTCCTCCATATGTGACTCCACTTATCCTTGCTTGCATGTCTATGATCCAGGATTTGTGAAATCTGTGGTGCAGTAGCGGTGAACGTTATAGGAGGGCAGGCAAGTGAACCCAGCAATGCTACAATAGCCACTGTGGGAGTATCAAGTGCACCTGTAGTCCTTTCTGAAACCCGAAGATTCTGGCATGGACGCCGTATCATGAATTTCCTGCTTGCATGCATGATTTTTGCCTTTGTCATTTCATGGCTTTTTCACTTCAAAATATTCCCTTGAATTTCGTTTAAGATCGTTCTGGCTGGACTTGTTCTTAGTGACATCATTAACGACTCAACCATGGGCAATTTATGATGTAGACGTATATTTGGGCTGAGGAGTTTTCAAGGCAAGATAGCATTTTGATTCAGGTCATGTACTTCTCAAGAGTGTTCCTCTGCAATGCTTATTTGAGAAAATGACTAGTAACTGGGAATGCAAGAGACGAAGACGACCAATGTCTTATTAGTTCATCAAACATCATGTGGAAAGAAGTCTACTCCACCAGTAGAAAATCATCCTCCATATATCCATGTTAATATCTCCGACATATCCATATTAAGCAGTGGTGATGGTGCAGTGTATTCTGTTGTATTTCATTATTGCACTTTTTGTACAAATATTTTCATGTTGCTTAGTTACTTGAGTGTGTTCCAGTCAACACCCTTGCTCCTGATATATTTAGCCTGTGTCCCCTTGTAAGTTCTCTGCATCTCAGAAAACTGCCAACCATTTGAGGAGGGTTGTTTTATATTTGATCAGACTGTAAAATGACATTGTGTATATTAGACAAGTTTTGAATATTCTGAACTTCTGATCCTTTATATGCTATCATGGATTTGGAAACCTTTGAACACCATCAAGAGCTTAAGGATCCTTTAGAGATCCATCGAAGAAGATCTGAACGTCCACAAGGAGGCCATCATGGATTTGGAAACCTTCCAACATCCCATCAAGAGTTTATTCTGATCAGAGAGTTTGGATGAGGTTGTTTCTTATTCTGACTCTAACAATCCGGTAATCGTTAGTTTTAATTAAACCCTAGCATACTGTCTACATTTGAGGTGGATTATTTACGATGAATATTGTTCTCTTTGAGAGATTGAAGGTGGAAATCCAGTCCATACTTGTTGATAAACATGTCGAATATAAGAATATGTTCTTGCTAGATAAACTAAATTTGATGTTCCTTGTATTGAATTCTCTTGTGTTGAGAGTCACAATAGCAATAACATCCATTGCAAGATTATGATAAACAATAAAGGAAATAGAAAGTGATGAATAGAAAGAGATAGAAACTAAACTACAACGCGTTTCAGAGAAGGAAATCTGTAGCAACTAAACTAAGTGACATTTGTTAGAAGTTTTAAAAATCTGAGTTTGCAAACTTAGCTTTTGAGTGCAATGGATGTCTAAATTGTTACATAAATATCAAGTGTTGAAACTAAATTGACAATAAGCTAAAACGGGCTTATAAACTAGTTTGATCAGCTTATATGGTTACTGAAAGACATCCTTATTAGGTAAATATATTAACTTTCATTCAATCATTTCTCAAATCTGTTGTTTTCAGAACTTTTTTCATATATGAACTGTCCAACAGCCTGATGAAATGTGCTTCTAACATGCTGGAAAAAAAGCATTATGACATGGCAAGAATCTTTGATACATCCCTTCTTCCCCCTGCAACTGAAGTTAGTATAAACCAAGAAAAAGTACTTGATTTTCGAATTCCACCTCATGCTATATTGCAGTTTATCAATAAAGGGTTCGAAAATAAATACTTTAAACTTGTATTTGTGACTTTTCTAACAATTTGGTCCCAGTTCCCCATCTACATCTCCAGAAATGCCAATTGAACTTGCACAATAACTTACAAAAGTGAGAGATACACCAGTTCTCCCAGAAGGCAGGAGGAGGATGAAAATTATTCACCTGCCCTCCAACGGATGTTAGGAAGAAACCTTCTGTGCCACAATAAGTTGATATTGGTGAATCATGTATGGAAGGTGATCTATACAATGTCCTTTTACGTAGAACTATACTCGATAGCCTATACGTATTTATTGCCTCATTCTTCTGAAGTCCAAGGACGAACCATCTTTGAGAGTTTCCCGGGCATCTGAGTCCATTCCCAAAGTGAATAGTGCAGCTGCCTGAAGATAGAAAGCAGTGGGCCAATTGGAAAATTGTACTTGTGCTTGCATTGCGTCTGCAAGAGCTTCTTGTGGCTTGTTACTCATTAGGTAACATAAGGAGCGCCTTGCAAGCACCGTTGGGGACTTAACATTTCCACCCTCAAGAAACTGCAGTGCAAACAAACAAGCTGTTTGAGTGGTACTCAATTTTTGTTGGTTAGTAGATTACATGACTAACAAAATGGCGCGTTTTATGGATTGAGATAGGACATTATAGCATGTCTGATACAATTTCTTTTGGTAGACTAAATCTTGTTTCACTTCCAATTATGGAAAAAACATATTTTTTCTCTCTTAGAACTACTTCAATCATTTTAATAATGAGACGATACTAACTAATTGTACCAGGTGCAAAATCATGTGCAGTTCCCAAATTGATTGCTTACCTGTGTGTAACATTTGATTGCAGTTGTAAAATCTTTATCTCGAAATGCAGAATCGCCAGATTTCCTAGTATTCAGGGTCTCTTGTAATTGATTAGCCCACATCTGAAACGAAAGCTGTAAAAAGCAAAAGAGTTTCACATAAGTTTTGTCCCTCAAAATCCAATGGAAGCTGTTGTTACAAAAATAGTCGTGAATGGTTTACTGCTAATTCTGCTATTGCATTCTAATTGATATCTGCATTTTTTGCTATAATTGACATCCATGTTGCTTTTGACAACCAGTGATACTGAAACTGTATGTGCAATTCTGAAGCCATTCATTGCATAAGATAAACCTCTTCAATAACTAAGTGAAATTGGTGTTGCATCAATTATAAAGTGAGTAGATTCTTTGTTATTTGGACCATGAAGTGCAGTAAGTTTACTAGAGGTGTCAAGGCAAATATCCTAAATTATGAACTTTGAATAAAATGTACAAAAAACGTTGTATTAGCTGTCTAAAGTAATATGTGAAATTGCCAGTGCAAAGATCAGCCAGAAGCAGATGAAAAATGGAATGCTGAAGTTAAGAAGAATTATATCTGAACAGGAGTTTTCAATAAACAATTACACGGAAAGAAGAACGAAGGTCTGCACTTTTTAGTTTCATTACAGCAATATAACATGAACAAAAGTTTAACCAGGGAACATCCCGTCTTAGCTGTTATAGTTAAGGGATTCTGAGCGTACTAACCTCATTAGCGATCCCCTCGTCCTCCTTGTATCCAGCCTTTTCTAATATCTCATGTATGGCAGTTAAATCGCATGTCGAACAAGCCTCACCAAGAGGTGTTAAAGATACTTGGGCGGGTGAGGTGGTTTCATGAGCAATACTCATCAGAACGTTTGATGGAACCTGCAAGGTATATCAAGTCAAATAACATGTCAATTTTAGTAAAATAACTTCTATCTTCATTCAAAAACGCAAAGAAAGAAGTAACATGCATCAATTCTAAAACAGAAGGAATAATTACATCTTTTTCTTTCTGAAGAGGTGTTATGGAGGTCAGAAGAGATTTCACATTTGGCCTGTCATGAGGTTCATACTGCAAACAACGTGAAGCAAGTTGAACTAACTCGGTCCCATCGTCATTTGAAAAGTGACCTTCCAAGCATGAGTCAATAAGCATCAGAAAATTCTTTCCACGTATAAGGTCAAGTGCCTGCATAAGAATACAAATGAATATGAATCAGAAATGGTTCAGTTGGAACTATTTAAGATGGAGAGAATGAGTAAATAAATAAGGCTATTCATAAACAATGTTGTAGTTCAAAGATTCTTCTATTAACTAAGACCACACAGTGCTTTAGAAGTCTTACTACGCATTTCCAACTATGTTTTCTGTGAGTCTTTTAGCCCTGTCAGAGATTAATATACCAGTAGAAAATATACAGATTTTTAGTACTTTTTACACTTACAATTTTATTTAGTATAATATCAGCATGAAATGAGTTTAAATGGAGAAAATGAATAGTGAGAGTTGTTATAGTCCATCCCATCTTGTTAGGGATTGAGGCGTAGTTGTTATATAGAGATCTTAGATGAACCCCCTAAAATCACTTACGTGGCTTGGAGGAATATGCTTTCCGCTAAGAAGATCAAGCAACAGGGCACCAAAACTGTAAACCACACTCTCAGGGGTCACCTTACCTGCCATTACAACACAATAAAACATTGAATCAAATAGCTGATTGGAAAAAGTGGATTATCTTCAATTGCTTTGATAAACACATGTTGAGTTTAGTCACTTGTTAGTCTTAGAAGAATCATACTTGTTCACTATTAAACTTCTTCATGTTATAGTATTAGACAACGATGAATGATGATGTTAAATCAAGAAAATGCTAGAACTCTTTGAGCCAGAGACAGACAATCATTCTCAAAACAATGTATATATAAGAACCAATATGTATAAACAGAAACAAGAGAAGAAAGATTTCTATCATATTAGGTGAACCAATTAGATTTCAATCTTCTTTACTAACACCTCATTCTGCAAGCTGTTTGTCAATGATCAGCATTTAAGTTGTTCCGCAATTTCAGTGATGACTTTCAAACATTTTGGTATATTGCCTTTGAATTCGAACGTAGACAGCTAGAAACTTGATAGAAGCTGATGTACCTGTCTTCAAATATTCAGGTGGAGTGAATGCCAAGTTTGTACTATAACTCTTCCCATCCCTACTGTTCTTCATTAAGCCAAAACACGATAGCCTTGGTTCGCAATCCTGTCATATGTTAACTCATAGTAAGAACAAAGATGTACAGATAGCTTGAAAATTTATCGGAGCACAAATACATGTAGGGTAAGGTTTAAAAGAAAACTTACTTGATCGAACAAAACTCTGTAAGAATTTAAGTCATGATATAGTTCTCGCCCTTTACGACTGCAATAGTCTAATGCTTGTGTTAGATACAAAGCAACTCTCAACCTCATCGACCATTCCAATGGTCGGTTATCCCCTAAATCAATTGAACCAACATAAACTTGTTACATCATGATACTGCGAGTTTTAGGCCCCATCACACAAGACAGTAAAAGGGTTGGGTTAGATAAAGACTAGTTTACATAGAGATTGCTTAAGTTGGCAATTCAAGCACATTAACCACACCACAAGGAGAATGAACACAAAGGATACTCAATTGCTTTCTCTATGTCTTATCGGTCTCAAAATCCGAAAAAAGAAGAAGAGATAGACTTACAATGGAATAAATGCTTGGATAATGTTTCATGATGCATAAATTCAGCCACTAGCAGCCTCTCATCCCCTTCACAGCAACACCCTAGCAAATTAGCCAACCGCTTACTCCTTAGCTGCCCCACTGTTTTCGCTTCATCCTTAACAATGAACATAATTTCCAAATTAATACACAACATGTTCTTGTTTGTCGAAAATATAATATAATTAAATAATTAAAAGTACATCCTCTAACACTTAATAACTTTTTAGATGAGATAGTCACTATTGTAAAAAGAGAATCACATCAACTGAGAACAGGAAAGAGGAATAACTGGAAAAAGAAAATCATCCCCATTTCTATTAGACAAAAGGACTGTAGTACATAATATTGAATCGAGAATCGACATCTGTTCTCCCCTATATGCATGTGCTACCCTATAACTAATTGTCTAATCGACAATTGAAATCCCACTTCTTCTATCTCGCTAACCATCAAAACTGTTACAAGTTTGTAATATTAACTAACTCATACTTAGCTAGCACTAATCAGCAATTAGTTTGACTCTCTAATCAGCTAAGTCACAACACCTCTTTCATTAGTCACACAATTCAACATGTTATCAGAATAAGCAAGAGGTTTTAAGTTCATATTTCTTAGCAACTCAAAAAGCAAAACACATTTTCATGCGTTAAGACTCATAAGTTGCCATCAAACTTATAGATTGTCTTAGTTACAAGGTTCGCAATTAAGTATTTGTGCATATTAAATGGATTTCTGATACAAATACAAGGTCTAAACAAAAGCTAGTGGGTTCATCCGAACTCAAGCTGATGTTGTAGCTTCACCCCGCCCACGCATGAAGGGACATGTTGAAGACATAGTCATAATACTGAGAAAAATGCTAATTGAACCTAAATGAAACAAAACACATGAGAAATGAGTACTAACAAGAAATTGACGAGAATCAGGCCATGCTGACGACTGGAAGCGCTTAATAACTATCCAACGGCCATTGCCATTAAGCCGACCTTTAAACACCACATTGGGGGCTTTCTCTCCATGTTCAGAGACAATATTATTAGCAGAGAAATTTGAGGTAGCAGCTTTCAACTCCTCCAAACCATATTCTTTAAAAACTGGCAAATTCAACTGTTCATTCTCCGCCCATTTTTCTGAACAAGATAATCATTTACATACATCAAAATTGATTCTTGAAACTCCCATTTAATCGGGAAAAAAAAACACAAATTTTTTTACCTATATCTGAGGAATATAAAGCATGAGACTTGATATTTGAAGGCCATAAACAGAAACATAAATTGGAACAACGACCACCCATCATACAAATTCACCAAAAAAAAGAAAAAAGATACCACCTTTATTTAAGGAGAGACAAAGGGGTCACAAATATGGTGACTACTTTTCTCCCCTTTAAACTTAGCAACAATGGGGAAAATGTCAAATTGTTAATGGTGAGTTTCAAATTTCAATATTCAAATTTGTTGTCAAAATGACCAAAAATGAAAAATAACCCCCTTCAGAGAAAAGCCCAGAAATTCCTACAGAAAGGGAAAATGTTAATTATGGGGTTTATTTCTGCCTTGCTGCTGTCATATATTTTGCAATGATCAAGAATTTAACTGCTACATAATATTGATCCCAAAGGAAAGAGGAAAAAATTGTAGTCTCTGTTTCTTTCGTTTGGGACAGAGGAGGAACATAGAAGAAAGGAAAAAAAAAAGACCGTTTTTGGCCCTTGCTATATTTTCTATATCCTCTATTCTTTAGGAAGAGTTAACGTTGTCGATTGTTTTCCATAATAATCATATTTGCATTGACTAAACAGTTTGAAAGTAACATGCACAAATTAAAAACGAATTAATGATATACTCATTTATATTTACGACATAGATGTCACGTAGGTTGATAAGAGCGATGATATATGACTTAACAATTCAAAAGTAAATATATACGTAAAGTTTGATGGCAAGAGTAAATATATCGAAACAATATAACGAAAGATAAATGTAATCTTTTTCTGTGAATACAAAGGGCAAATACGTTAAATTTACTACATTTGAATGGTAAATTACTACATTTGATTTCGCATAATGTATAACATATACATTTTGTTATACATGTATAATAATAGTATAAATGAGTTCTTTTTATCAATTTTTTTTTTGCATAAATTAATACATTTGGATGGTACTATTTAGGGGACATGTTGTTTCACTAGAGTAGAAACATAAGCATTTATATCCTCCAACACACACTGCATCAATGAAATAAGGTCCATGTTTATTCTGGCAATCATCCATACAAAATGGTTTTAGTTTATTACAACTAGGAATCTCAACTGCTACCTCACACACGGTAAACTCTGCATTTGTTGAGAGAACTTGAGTAATTATGAACATTCCTAAAAGAAAAAAAAAACGTTGTTTTAATTGAGAGAAAAGTATATATTGTACATGAATTCGAAAAGCAAATAACAATTGTGTTATATACATACCGCAAATACAAGCAATGAAAAAAATGGAAGAGCGAAAAAATGCACCAAAGTATTCCATTGAATGAAGAATTTATTTAGTGAATTATAAACTAGTGATGACTCTCATCTTTTATAGAAGAGAAGTAATTATTATTTTTGACTAATATACAATCAAACAAGGATTTACTTGCCAAATAAATATAAAGAACAAGGAACAAAAGGATACAATTATTAATTATTAACTTGACCAATATATTGTTAGGGTTTTACCCTGATTTTCTTTCCTTATTTAAAGTTTATGTTTTTTTCTTTAAAAAATATCAAAGTATTACCATAAAAGCTTCAACTTTTTCTGAAAGCAAAATATAATTTTCTTCTATATTTGGTTTATTATTTCCTTAGAGAAAAAGTTTGAAGATCCCTATTCTCATAGCATAACACAATAAAATTCACAATGTAGTTATTAAAAAAGTTTTGTTTATGAGAAGATTTTTCTCTCAACAGTTTTAATATTTTCTTTTTATTAGTTTTTAATTATGTAGGCTAATTGGTCCTATCATGTAATAATGTTGTGTCTTTTAGTATAGTTTTATTTGTCATCTAATTTATCGTCATATGATTTGCAAATTATAAGTTTGCGCATGACGTCTTAATCACTTTAGAACCCAACATATTGTTTTATTGACCATTAATTTTCAAACGAAATGTTAAAAATTCTAGAGTAGAAAATCTAATTAATTTCACGTAATCATTCACCAATTATTCTAGATTTGAAAATTATCTTGAAAAATAGATTGATAGCAATTGACACTGGTTAGACAAACCAGACAAAGAATTGTCCTAGAAGATGTCCTAATTCACCTTTGATTTTGTAATAGAATCGCATGGATACATTATTTATACATGGTTATACATTATATACTATATATTAATGTATATATAATGTATAATAGTGTAGTGTGTGTACACTGTACTCTTTTGTACATCAGATATATGTAAAAATTAGGCAAATGACATAGTATAAGAAAGAAATTACTTCATTTCCCTACTCTTTCATTAATTACTAAAAATCCCTTTTTTTAGTGTTTTTCGGATACATAATATAGCAGTGTGGATACTTAATATAGCTGCGCGGATACTTTAATTAATAATGGGCGGATACTTAAATTATTAAGTTGTTAGCAGCACGGATACTTAATTAATGGGAGGATGCATAGTATAGCAGCGCGAATACTTTAATTAATAACGGGCGGATACTTAAATTATTAAGTTGTTAGCAGCACGGATACTTAATTAACGGGCGGATGCATAATATAGCAGCTCAGATACTTTAATTAATAACGGGCGGATACTTAAACTAATAAAGTATCCGGTTAAGTTGAATTGGGGAAAATAAGGGATTTTTGTATTTTAATAAAAGAGTAGGGAAATATTGAGAATAAGTAAAAAAATGTTGTGTATTTAAGTAATTTTTCCCAGATATATACCATGTATATACATTAGATATTTTTAATAGTTCATGTCCAAATTATTTGTTAGAAGAAAAATGAGGTAGGATGAAATAATAGCAATCCAGTAAATTATTATCTTTTTAAATCCTTTTGTGATTGATTTGGTAATTAATGTAATTACTTGTATTTTCTGTTCATCGTTACTAACAAGGCTAACTAAAATTTGTTACAACTATATAATTTAAGTATAACTTACCTAAATCTCATAGTGTAAAGAGTAAATTATATTGTAACCCTACTTTTTTTCTAATTACAATAACCCCTTCGGAGAAAAAAATAATTACAATAATCCCTTAATTTTTACACAATCTGAATACATAACTCACAATTCAGATACAATAATGTCGATACATTATGTATCAAACTGTTACGCTGGAAAAGGAAAAAAGATATCAGAAAATCTAATTAAAATTCCATAAATTACGCTTACATGTTTCTTCTTATTGTCAATCAATCATACACAAAACTTAACAAAACCAACAATTCGAAAAAAAATCAGATTTCTTCTCCCTATTCATCTTTCTCCATGTTCATCGAAGAACCAATCAATTAGATTTAAATTTGCCGAAAATTTGATTAGATACATAATGAATAGTTGTTGGACAAACAAGTTCACTGTGATACTGCTTGTTTGGAAGATCGAGTAAGCAAAAGCTGTGATTGATCAGCCGACGAAACAGAAGAAGCAGAAGATCTAATGGGTGCCTTTTCAAGAGCAGAAGAAATGGAACTGAAACTGCCATATGGATCGTGAGACATGGCACTACGAAAAGCCTTTTATAATGTTGTATGATTGATTATTGAACAGAAAACGGTCAAATACCCCCTCAATCTATTACCCGATTTTCAATTACACACTTATATTTTACGGGAGTTTTGTTACCCCCTAAAATATTTTAAACACAAATATTAATACACTTAAAACGTCACCCCCAAATCTTTGTTATAGAGTGTAATACACACACCTATTTTTCAGAATTAAATTTTTTTTTAAAAAAAATCATCACCAAAATACATTAAGTTTGATGCTTTTCATTTTTTCTCCACCATTCTATTCATTTTCCTAAATCATTCCATTTTTTCTCCATTGTTTCCAAATTTCTCATCTCCTCCAATCCACCTCCATCTCCATCACACCCATCATCCTCCGTCTTTCTTCTATCTTTTCGATCATTTATTTGCACAAAATCTTGTTGTCGTATTGAATTCAATAAATTGACATGAATGTTGAATCTTTTTTATCATGTATCTTACTGCCATTATGGTTCTCCAGTTGCTTATTTTTGATGAATTTGAAGATGAAAATTTGATTGCCCAATTTCAAATTCTAATACCCACTTTCAGTTCCAATCAAGAAACTCGGGTTGCTACTATAATCGAAAAGATTTCTATAGCAAAAGCTGTAATATCATTTTTCAATGTCGAATTGAAAGTATTTTCCATTGAGGTGAAAGAAATTAAAGGATTATCATTTTCTTTCTTTTGGTTATGGTGTCTATTTTTAAGAAAGATTTGAAGGTGATGGTCATGAAAAAGTTCATTATGGACTAAAAGTGAAAAAAATGAAAAAATAAAATATTATAGCCATGGCAAAATTCAATTGCAGAGGTGTAATTTTTTAAGGAGGTAATGGTTAGAGAGAGAGAAAGTATGTGATTGTAATTAATTAAATTTATTTATTAATTATATTGAATTCAATTAAGAAATGACAGATGTCCAATCATTTAATTTTGACTAATTTAGTTGCCTTACACTTGCTTCCAAGAAAGTGAACACACTTGTTGTGCCACATCAGCACTTAAGATGTCAATATCTCTGTTTAAAATACTTCAAGGGGGTAATAGGACCTCCGTAAAGTATTGGTGTGTAGTTGAGAATTGAGTAATAGGTTGAGGGGGTATTTGATCGTTTTCTCTTTATTAAATTGTGTCTTCAAGATGGATAGATTTATCAATACATTATTATTTATGTATCTTGTTTAAAATTGATAAGTGTTGTATTTTTACTAGATACATTAAATAAGTAATTATTGGTCAGAACATGTTAGATTTGAGATCGATACATTACTGTTTGATAATTGCTATGTATCGAATACATTTAGTGTAAATTTGAATTTACATATCATACCTAAAAAATTAGTGCATGATACATTCTTATTTATGTATCTTATTTTGTTTGAGAAATACTATACTTTAAAATAAAATAAAAAAAACACTATACATGTAATTGTTCCAAAATAGCTTCTTTTTGTGTGTGTGTGATACATAACACAAAGTTTATGTATCAAGTACATTTATATTGAACATGATAAATACTAATTGAAGATTCAACAATATTAGAGTTATGTATCAATACC